ACGAAACCACAAAGCCAATGCGCCTAAAATGTATTGGGTTCAAACCGTGCGTCGATGCTAGAAAAGCCAGTTAAGCAGAAAAAAAAATAATGATTTTTTACCTGAGTATGAGCCTCCGTAAACGATCCAACGGTGGTTACTAATGCTGTATTTCTTATCCATGGCTTTTATAAATTCGGCAATATCCTCTATGGCTTGTCTGCTGCTAAGGTACTTCAGATTTTCAGTTGTTTGTTTTCTAAATCTCTAGCAGTTAGAAATGTTTTATAAATGAAAGTAGTGTAGTAAATTTTCTTAATGGAATAATGCAGGCACAGCGATTCGCTTGGCATTTAACATACAATAGGTAGGTGTTCAAAAACTTGTCTAATAATTGTCACATTTGCTTAGTCTATATAAAAATCCAGAACACTTTTCTGGTTGAATCAACTAAACGGTTGTTATTCGTGGGTATCATGTGCTGTAAATCGCCAAATTTTCTTCTGCTTGGAAAAAGAACTAGTCAAAATAAAAAATGAAATTTTCTGAATTTTATGATAAAGTAAAAAGGGTTTTCTATCACAAAAAAAGCGTGCGATTTGAAGACAAATGAGTTGTAAGTGCAAACGTGATATGGGAGGTTGTCAAAAAATAATAGTGAAGGAGGTTTCAAACAGTATAGAATAATGAGAATTCAAGAAATAATTCGTAGCTTTAAGTGGTAGCACCAGTTTAACTTTAGTTCATCTGTCTCAAAGTAAATAAGGTGCCGTTACCAGTCCAAAATTTTGAGAAAGAAGAAAATTTGAAGGCAAAATTTGTCTTGGAACGCTCCAGCGGAAAAGTTTCTGTGGTAGTTACTAGAAAGAAATGATCACAAACTGTGGATTAAAGGAAACAGTTTTATAAGAAAATGTCTGTTGAAATAGGTAAAACTTTGAGTAGTTATTGACTGCAAAAGGTACTAGAAGAAGATTTCTCTCAACTAATTCCTTCACGGTGCAAAAAATTTTGTTTGTAATGCAACTAAGAAGGAGCAGTTATAAAACTTCCATAAGTTTAGAAATTAAAAAATTTGTTTTGGCTTTATCTTGCACTAGATAATTTCATCTTTCCTTCCGCAATCGACGGTGAAGAGGACTACTTTTACATATGGTAAGTATTTACAGAAAGCCAGAGCGAGACAGCCGAAAATAGCGACTAATAAAGCACTGTTTCTCACATATCTTTAACTGACTGTCTCGCTATGAATTTTTACAAAGTAGAAACCTAAAATGTAGAATATACAAAAGAAAATTTTAAACAGATGCAATACAGAGTTCTGTTTTTGTAAAACTTTTTAATGCATTAATTGAATTGACAGAGCGATAGTTTAGAAATTACAAATTTTCAAATCAGCTTTCTTTTCGCAATTTACCACTGTTAAACAACGTTTTGTCATCAGTACACTTTCAAATGTGTTTCTTTTTTAAACCTTTTTGTCTAATCACGATATTGAAGGCAAATAAAACATGCAGTGCTTGAGTATTTAAACAGGTTCGCGTTTCAAACCGAATTACTGTTCTGCTCTTTATAATTTCTTATTTTACAAATCTCATTTTACTCTACGAGCCTAACAACTCTTTTAAGACGTTCAATAGACAAAGTTTAAAAGTTCTAGAATTTACTTTAAAGAATGTTTTTCTCAGCTTCTTTATAAGGTTGCTTATTCTACAAAATTTATAGATCTATCTATACTGCAATCGTCAATTTTGAGGACATTTTTTGGTTGAAAAACCGTGAAGGTGGGCACTTCATCAATGGTATGCAGTCAATCAGAGAGGTGAAGCAATTTTTACTACTACCAGAGTTATTCTTCTAATTAAATTTTAGCGTGTAACACCAATATAGCGTTACTCGAATGGTCGACTTTTGCCATAAAATCGGTGTTCTAAGGCAAAAAGCGCTGCAGATGAATCATTGGCCCATTTCATATGTGGGCATCCTTCGTCAAAAATCCATCCACCATTTTCTGGTCCCTCTCCACCAAGGAATAAAATAGCTGGCCCATTACCCTTGTAGTACTGACCGTTGTAAAAATAACGCTGGAAAAGTCAACATTTGAAAAATCTTGAAAACTTTTTTGCTTTCGATTTTTTGAATATTATTAAAAATTGAGTGGTTATAAGAAGCATTATTTAATAGCATTGGTAATGTTAGTTATAAGGCAACTTACCTGTCTAAACACGTCTTTAGACGAACTAAAATGGTCAATACTTTGATTGAACCATAATTCTTCGGGAGCGGCTT